CCCTCTCCACCCAACTCCTGCTTTTAGAGACCTCTATCCTGTCCCCGCTCTGTCTCCTCTTTTCTAAGCTGAACAGTCCCAGTCTCTGTAGCCTCTCTTCTTCTGGGACCTGTTCCCAACCCCTGATCATGTTAGTTGCCCTCCCCTCTCCCACCCTCTCTCTTCCCCTCTCCCACCTCCTTTTCCCAGTCTCCCCCAGTTTTGTTCAATAAAGACAGAGTCAACGTTGGAAGATACGTTATCTTTATTTTGTACATCAGGAAGGGGGGCTAGGGAAGGGTAAGTGGAAGGAGGTGAGGGAGGAATGGGGTACGAGCCCCCGATGGGGAGGACTGGGCTGGCTCTGCGGGCTTCTGGGGGTGGAAGCTCTCCTGCAGCCCCCCAATTGTCCCCTCTCCCCAGATGGCAGCCTGCGGCAAGTGCAGCCGGGCTGATGGCCGAGTGCTGTGATGTGCCCAGTGTGGGCACTCCGGGCACTCCAAGCCAGGACTGGTTTTCAAGCGGGGCACCCCTGAAAACTGTCTGTCCGGGGTGGGGGTCGGGTCCCTTTAAGCGCAGCCCTCGGCTAGCCTGAGACAGCATCTCCACGCTCTAAGTCCTCCTCTGATGCCCTGCCGGCACTGCTTCCGGCCATCCTTAAGCCCTGTTCAGGGTCCACTCAATGTGGACATGCTAGTTCGAATTAGCAAAACGCTAATTCGAACTAGTTTTTAGTTCTAGACGCGTTAGTTCGAATTAGCTTAGTTCGAATTAACTAATTCGAACTAAGTTAGTTCGAACTAACTCTGTAGTGTAGACATACCCTGAGCTCTTAGGAGACATTTAGAGAGAAATTAAATTAGAGCTAAATAACAGTACGGAACACCAAGGGCCAGGACTGGTGGCTGTAAACAAACTTTATGGGAAACTTGGTCAGACCTTACCACCTTGTCTCTCCTTAAGAATCTGTGAGACATAGTGCAATAAGGGTCTTCAATTCACCTTCTTAGCTACCCCTGCTAATGGGAATAAACAGACCCACCTCTTAATAGATTCACCTAGATAACACATCCCAAAGTATAAGCTGTCTAGCCAAGGAAGATTATTATGAGTGGAGCTGTAAGAGCACAGCCAACATTAACTCTAGATTTTCCTAACATTTGAATTTACAGTCTTATCATTCTTTTAACATAGCGTTTTGTGTGTAGTTACTGATTTATTTACATAATGGACAAAAACATACTGCAGAGGAAGCCATGTTGTGTAGATTTCCCAGGAAGTACATTGCTGACAATCAGCTAAAACGTTTTGGGAATTGTGATACCAGGAGGGAGGTTTATAAATATTATGTGCAATAGATGTCCCTGGTGGCCCCCAACAATTAGTATCCATGGTTAGCTATTTTTTTCTCTGCATACTCTTCCAATTATAATAGCTATAGGCTCTAATTTTTAGTTTTGTTCAGAAAGAAAGGCAAATACATGCTTACTTCCACAGTTGTTTCATGCCCCTTATTTAGTATACTTGTAGCTTACATTAATATTTAGCCATCTTAGGATGCGTCTACACAGCACAATTATTTCAAAATAACTGAAGTTATTTTGAAATAACAATGCGAGTGTCTACACAGCAATTTCGTTATTTTGAAATAAATTCAAAATAACAGATGGCTTATTCTAACTTTTGTAAACCTAATTCCATGAAGAATAACACCTATTCCAAAATAGCTATTTCAAAATAGCTGTAGTGTGGATGCTCCATTGCTGTCATTTTGAAATAGCTCCTTCCCAGGGCCATTCTAACAAATTACTCTCCAGTGCCTCTTGGGGCTCTAAATTGAGGTAGCATGTTCACATTAGGGAAGCTTGCCTTGAACTAATTTTGAGGCTTTCCTGTAGTGTACATGTGCTATTTTAAAATAAGCATTTTTGGAGTATTTCTTACGGAATAGCTTATTTCAAAATAAGTATGCAGAGTAGATGTACCCTTAGAGAGAGCATATGTTTGAGAATTTAAGGGTTCCATTTAATAACACTTAAAGAATGGCATAAGAAGAGTTGAAACTATTTTTAAATAAACAGGGAATTATCCTGAATTATATTTTATAAACAGGGAATGACTGTGTGACGGATTTACCGGGTGTGAGCGCCCCCTCTCGGAGGAGCAGGGGGTTTCAGCGGACCCACCGTCTATGTCTGCGATATTTTTGTCCTGGGGTCCTGTTCCCTGGAGTGGGGTTTGTGAGTGCGATCACCCGTTGCCGGTTCGGTGACGGGGTTCGGAGGACCCGCTGCCCCGTACCTGTTAAGGGTCCTGGTGTCCCGCCGGGGTAAGAGTTCCGGGGGCCTGTCCCTGGTAAAGGTCCTTCCTGGATGGATAGCAAGCGTTCGGATAGCGTTTAAGGTCACCCAACTCCCAGAGGTTGCAGACTACTGGGTAAATTGGGTAGGTTGAGACTGCAGGGAAGGAGAAGTGGGGGACCCGGGCTCGCCCTCTCCACCAGGTCCCAGCCTGGGGCCCTAAGTGGGGGAAACTAGCGCGCTCCCTCCACGACAGGTGAGGTTGATCTCCTAAACTTGCCTGCCCACGCGCGCCAGAAGCACTCTGCCCCAGGCTTCTTCCACTCCCCGCCTTTCGCCAACCCGCCTGGGTATCCGCACGGGACACTTACCACGCCTGAGCCGTAGGCCCCATCCCTTTCTCTTCCTTCCTTCCGGTGGGGTGGGATGCTCGTCCTTCTAGGGGGGGATCGGCGGGTCCTCTCTGACCTGCCTCTAGCCAGCTCACCTGACCGCTTTTCAAGTGGCCCGGGGAGAGATGCTGTGCGGGCCAGCCCCGCCCCCGGCGTCCTCACGCACTGTCGCCCCACGGCTGGGGGCCAGAGCTCCGCCCCCCGCTCCGCCCAGCCCCGTGCAGCCGGAACGCTTCTCAGGCACCCGGCCCATATGCCGCAGCCACGTCTGGCCCCGCCTACCTCACCGTGGGGCCGTGCGTGTTCCCCCATGCAGGATTTCAGCCCAGCACGGGCTACTCCTGCTGCTTGCGCTACCTGCCTGCCCTCCCTGGCGCAGGGGGCAGGGGGACGGGCGGTCCCCCTCCTCGGATCAATGCGGACCCTGCTGGGTTCGTCACAGACTGCTATTATGAATATTCTGCCCTGTGATTGGTGGGTGAGACACTTCTGTCAAAGACTTAAATTCTGCTCTCCCTTTGCAAACATGAATGAACAAATGCTTTAAAATTATTTTTCAAGTAGGTTTTTTGTGGAGTATTTATACTGCTACACATTTCAAACAAGCAACTGAAAAGGTGCCCTGTGAAATATTTACATAGAATCATAGAATAATAGGACTGGAAGGGACCTCAAGAGGTCTTCGAGTACAGCCCCCCGCCCTCAAGGCAGGACCAAGCTCCGTCTACATAATAGTAACATGGAAGAGGACAGAAGCCTTTTTCAGTCCATAGGTAGGTGTCTATTTTTTACTATATGGAATGGTTTTAAAAGGCAAGTTTCCTAGTTCAGCTTTAACTGAATCATGTTGCACATGCTGTATACTTTGATAAACATTTAATAACTATGATGAACCCACACATGTAAAGAAAACAGGATTAAAATGCTATTCATCTACAAATTGGAAGAAGTAACCCTTTGCTGGAAACAGAATGTTTTATATTTCCTGACTTTTCAATGCTAGATTCCTCAACCTTACTGTTTCATGAATGTGTTCAAATTAAATGTATGTGTTTTTTTTAAAAGACAAAAATTACCTACAAACCACAAAATTAAATGGATCCTTGACTGCAAATGTTCAACATTTTAAATTATTCTAGGTAAATTCTTAAGTTCCTGGAGTGTAGGAAGCATGGGGTGGTGGGTGAAGATGGGGGCTGGGAAAGGCAGCGTCAGGGAGGGAGGGTGGCATGTTGTCCCAGCCTTTCCAGCCCTGGAGCACGGAGAGGGGAGGCGAGTGGGGCAGCAACACTCCACTCCTAGGATGTGTCTACACTGGGCCACTTATTCCGGAAAATCAGCCGCTTTTCCGGAATAAGCTGCGAGCTGTCTACACTGGCCCTTGAATTTCCGGAAAAGCAATGACTCTCTACTGTACAAAATCAGCCGCTATTCCGGAAAAGCTACGCTGCTCCCGCTCGGGCATAAGTCCTTATTCCGGAACACTGTTCCAGAAAAGGGCCAGTGTAGACAGCCCAGTAGTCTTTTCCGGAAAAAAGCCCCGATCGCGAAAATGATGATCGGGGCTCTTTTCCGGAAAAGCATGTCTACATTGGCCACAGATGCTTTTCCAGAAAAAGGGCTTTTCCGGAAAAGCAGCTTGCCAATGTAGATGCTCTTTTTCCGGAAATACTTATAACGAAAACTATTCTGTTTTAAGCATTTCCGGAAATTCATGCCAGTGTAGACACAGCCCTAGTGTGCTTACAGTAGGCATTCTGGGGGCAGAGTGTGGGCAGAGCCAGGTCTGGTGGTTTGAGAAGGCAGTGCCTTCCCTCGCCTAGCATGCCGGCTGCCCCTGGTAGGAAGTTTCCTTTGCTGGAGACCAACTATGGAAAATTTCAGCCTGATTCCCCCGCCACTCCAAACTGAAAAAAATGTTAGAAAAGCATCCAGAGATCAGTCTCAGCTGTTGAATCTGTGCTTCCCGAATACCACGACATTCCTGGTTAGAGTGTAAATTGACAACAGCTATATAGAAACAGTGAAAAGTAGATTTCAAACAAGGAATCCAGTTGCTGCCCACTTGATGGTTATAAAAGGCCTGTAATTATAGACTGTTCATCATGGTTCACTACTGCACAGGTATTTGCAATGCTACCATATATAAATAAGATAGGCCGAAGCCACTGACAGTTCAAATCTGATTTCTAGTCTAGATTTCTTACTTACATAACAACGTGGCATGTGTACATTCAGAGATGGGTAGTGGTGATGTCTGTTTTGCCTATTATAGAGAGATGTTCCCTAAGTATAGAAGCTAGACAGGAATTCATGTCTCAGTTTTGAAAACCTCACCCTAGTGTTTGGGGCTAAGGAGTTCACGTCATTTCATGTTCTGGTTTGGGACTTATCTCTAATCATGTTTAGGAAGGTCTTTTAATTTCATTGTCCCTAATATGAGTGAACAGAGTATTCTGAAATCCTGTCTGTGTAAACACCTAACTTTAGAAATCTTGAATTATACATCTAAGAGACTAAGTTATAATTATGTCTCCCTCTCTATATTTATTTCTAAATTTTGGATATGTACCATTCAATTATAGAAAAGCCTTATATGTCAGCTTTGCAGCATACTCCACTGCAAATTTCATGATTCCCCCTTACGCTTTGGAAAGACTATTTCAGAACGTTGGTACTTGTGTGCGAGGCTTTTTGATGAGTTTTCCCAAGAGTGGAAACTGCTGAGTCTTAGACAACATTCTTGAAAGTAATGTACTGTATTTTGGAGAACTCTTTTTCTACAATGAATTTCAACTGTGAATAAGGCTGCTTCTGACCACAACATTTCACCAGTTCTTCAGAGTGTTGTCAAATACCTGAGAATTTCAGGAGAACACCAGGGTATTGGACTGACAGTGTCTGACCTATAGTCCAATTTGCAGAGTGAAAAATAGAAATGTCCCACTATCTGAAAACATCTTTCACAGGATTCCCAGAAGAGTGGGCTCTGCAGAACTCCTTTCAGATAATTTAAATCTGAGGATATGTCTACACTAGCCCCCTACTTCGAACTAGGGAGGCTAATGAGGGCAAATGAAATTGCAAATGAAGCACGGGATTTAAATATCCCACGCTTCATTAGCATGTTCCCGGGCGGTCGCCATTTTGGAAATTGACCTCATTCCATGGTTTAACTGTTAATTCAAAGTAAGGGGTTTATTTCGGAATCGCCCTTCTCTGCCGCGTGTAGACGCGGGCAGTTCTTCCGGGCTAGTCAATTTCCAAAATGGCAACCACCCGGGAACATGCTAATGAAGCGTGGGATATTTAAATCCCGTGCTTCATTTGCAATTTCATTTGCCCTCATTAGCCTCCCTAGTTCGAACTAGGGAGCTAGTATGGACATACCCTGAAACCAGGACTGACTGGAATACATAACTGGTGAGCAGATCAGGGTGCTACATCGGTACAAGGATCTAGAATGCCTCTCCCCACTCTGTTATCACTGAAACAGTCTTTTGTCTTTATTCATAAGCAGAGTGATCCCCTCTCTGATGTACTGTTCCTTTTTAACTCCAAGTGGCTTCAATTATTGATAGTTGTCTCTGAAGACATTCCATTGAAAGTCTGGGCATGGAACAAGGTTATTGAATTGAGCCTTGCAATATTATGGGTTCACCAGGATGAGGTGACAGTCCCTCATGTATGATTGGGAAATTATGCACTCATATGTTGTCCCCTGGTAATTAACTTTTTACAATAGTGCATATAAAGCTTACTTTCAGTAGAAATACATCATTCCTTAATATTGCCCATAAATATGTCTCACAGTGATTATGAATTTTGACAAGTTACAAGTTTTCTGTCAAAACCGAACATGTTACTTTCTATGGATAAATATTCTATAAGACAAGTTTGGGGCAGTTTGTCGAGGCTGAGGCAGGAGTTGTTTGGAAAGAACAGAACAGCCTTTGCCAAAAAAGTATATGTCACTGGGGATATTTCTCATTATTGTGTAATCACTGGTCAGAGTGCTAGAGTAGACAGGCAATTGGTGATTTTACTACTGTATTCATGAACTGCTTAGGTCTAGATCAGTGGTTCTCAAACTGTTCTGTGGACCTGCTACAGGAAAGTTGATAGCAGACCCATGTCGGTCAGCGACCTCTGACCCAAAAAAGTCTCTCACCTCGACCAAAAGGCTCCAGAGCCATGGAGCCTTGTGGCTTCCATTGCCTCCAGTTCACTTTTTCCAGCCAAGGAGAGAGCACGTGGAGAAGGGCCAGGACAACCTTCTTTTGCCCCAGGTCCCACCTTGCCCTGCCCTGTTCTTGTTCCACCACCACGGGACTGGCAGGGCTGTTGGGCCAGTGTTAACACTGGGGATTCGTGTTGTGCACCTCCTGCATTCACCAGTTGTGGCAGGAAGGGTGCGGGCAGGGGGGCTCCAGCTTGCACAGCACCACTCCTGGAGGAGTGGATGGGACCATCCCCGTGCTCCGCAGAAGTGGCACCAAGTCTGCTTCCACTTCCAGGGAGTGCTGGGGCAGTCGTTTGCCTCCCCAAGAGAAACATGGCTGAAAGCAGTGCAACACGGGCTGGAGTCACCTGGCCTGCACCTTCCCTGCCATCACTGTAGTTGAGTGTGGGTGGTAAGGGGGGCATAGACTCCTGCTGCTGGCATTAACCTGCCAGCTGCTAGCCCTTTGCTGGCCTGCTGGCTGGCCCCTCCCGCCTTGGAAGGGGTGACTCCTGGGAGTGCACATGGTACCACATGTACCCCCCACATGTTACCTATGACTGGCAGTGCTCCTACTAATGCAGCCCAGTTTGTCATTAACCTTTTTGATAACAGGGGCTCTGTTGACTCATATCCAGCTTCTCTTCTACTGGGATCCCCAATTCCTTTTCTGTAGAACTGCTGCATAGCCAGTCAGTCCTTAATCTGTAGCAGTTCATGGGATTCTGCTATCCTGAGCGTAGGACTCTTCTCTTGTCCTGTTGAATCTCATCAGATTTTTTTTGTTCAAATCCTCTAATTTGTCTAGGACACTCTGGAGCCTCTCTCTACTCTCCAGTGTAATTACCTCCCCACAGCTTAGTGTCATCCATGAACTTGCGGAGGGTGCAATCCATTATATCACCCAGATCATTAAGGAAGATGTTGAATAAAACCAGCCCCAAGACTTCCCTCTGGGGCACTCTGCCTGATACTGGCTGTGAACTAGACATCAAGCCATTGATTATTACCCATTGAGTCTGACAAGCTAGCCAGCTTTCTATCTACCAATTCCATTCATCCAGTCCATCCTTTTTTAACTTCCTGGCAAGAATGCTGTGGTAGACCATATCAAAAGCTTCGTTAAAGTCGAAGTATATATACCATGTCTACTGCTTTTCCCATATCCATAAAGCCAGTTATCTCATCATAGAAGTCAATCAGGTTGGTCAGGCATGACTTGTCATTGGATATCTGTATTGACTGTCCCCGATCACCTTCTCCTCCAAGCATTTCAAAATGGATTCCTTGAGGCCCTGCACTATGATTTTTCCAGGACTAAGATGAGGCTGACCAGTATGGAGTGCCCCAGTGCTCTGTCTTCCCTTTTTTGAAGATAAGCACTATATTTGCCTTTTTCCAGTTGTCCAGGACTGCCCCTGATCACCATGAGTTTTCAAAGATAATGGCCAATGTCTTGGCAATCACATCAGTCAACTCTTTCAGCTTCTTCATCTGCATCACATCCGCCCCACGGACTTGTGCATGTCCAACTTTTCTGAATAGTCCTTA